GTGTGTGTGTGTGTGTGGTCGAACTAGGGGAGCTTTGCAGTTCACCGCAGAAGTTTTTTTTCATCATAGCTACTCCTGCCTCGGCTTCGGCGGACAAGCGCAGCTGGGAGAAAACTGCTTAAACTTCCCATCCTTCTGATGGGTAGTTCTCTAAATTAGGNNGGGTCCATTTTGGGGTCCTTTTTATAAGGGTGCCGTACTATATTGGGGACCTAAACATTAGAAAACCATCCTGATATTGGGTAGAGGGGTTGACAGGTGACGGAGACCATTCGAATGAAGCAAGGTGGTGCAAGTTGGCTGACCTTCACACGTGCTCATGCGGAGCCCCTGCCAGGTCTGTGCCATGCACGGCAACACAAAGTCATGCAGGCTGGGGGGACATTTTGCACACATGCCTGGTTTATGGAATACCCTTTGTTTGTCAGAGGACAGAAAACCAAGTACTCATAGCCGACTCATGGCCATGCAGGCTGGTGACGCATGGGTGCAAGCATGCATGCTCAGACAAGCAGGAAGATAGGTTTTGAACTCGATTGCTTGGCGCTTCCATGAGCAAAGTTAAGCATTCACAAGGAATCATTGAACTCGAATCATTCTTCAGTTTCTGGGGTCGAATCTGTTTAGCTTTCGGTTTGCCTCTGCGCTGTCCAACATGAGGTACGGGGGTTTGGAGAATACGACTTATACAGGGTCAGGACTGTAGGGCTTGTCAAGAGTATAGCTCAGATCAGAAGCAAGTGCACCAGCAAGCTAAGCATCCACTGTCAATCATCTGCTCTTGTGACGCTACATGCTTTGGACGAAACGACTTCTGCAGTGCCAGGTCATACAACCCTCCGAGCTCTGCGCAATTCTGCGCCGGGCAGGTGCAAATCCAGGAACCCATCGATCATGTGGTGATTCGCTACACTTGCCACTTGTGTGAACACGGCCTGCCTTACAACTGTGTAGCACATGTGTGCACCAACATGACAACGCCTTGGTTAGTATGGTGTTGCTGCTGGATTGCAAGAGCTTTACAAAGTTCCAATGGCTTGGCTCATCACCGTCTTGAACCAAGGCTGCAACCCAAATCTTGTGACTGTCGTGGGCAGCTGCGGTGGTGGCATCTACAGCCTCGTGGATTGTTAGCGGATAGGCAAGTTCTCGTGCCAGGCGCTGCGGGAGCGGCGTCAAGAAAGTCCACTGTCTTGACGGCATGTTTGGGCTGCGTCCACTGCAAGCCCCATTAAATTCATCAGGATCTCATAAAACAGGAACCCCTTGCGCGCACGAGCATAAACCACCAAACCCTAAACCCTAAACCCTAAAGCCTGGAGCATGTCGCCGCATGCGCTGAGGTTCTGGGCGAAGGCTGCAAAGCGACCCAAACGCGAACGTTCAGATCATGCCAGGTGCAGAGTCCCCTCGCTCATTTATGATTACTAGGGTTTAGGGTTTAGGGTTTAGGGTTTAGGGTTTAGGGTATTACCCTTATCATGACCACTAACTACCTAAAACCCTAAACCCTTAAAAACAAAGAAGCCTAAGCCCTAAGCTAGCATTGTGACTATCATTTACGAGCATTCTTCTAACGATGCAGGGCATGCTGGGCCTGCGGCCCCAGCGATCAGGGATTTAGGATTTAGGGTTTAGAGTTTAGGGGGTTTACAAGTTTAGGGTTTAGGGGTTTAGGGTTTAGGGTTTAGGGTTTAGGGAGAGCTCCTGAGTAGATCGTCTTACCCTTGCCAGAGTATTTCTGACTTCCCTAAACCCTAAACCCTAAACCGTCCAACCAAGCCCACCGCAGAATCAAAAGCGGAACCTAGGTTCGATAGACCCCCTGTGCTGGCAGTGGGGATGTGCAATTGCCCTAAACCCTAAACCCTAAGTTTCTGAGGAATCGTGCTGGCACCTCCTGGGGACTCCCTGCACCGGTTGCATGTGCTCCGATTTCCCTGGCCAATGAGCTCAACAAAGATCAATACGTACCGTGGCTGAAAAAGTACAAGGATGTCCATTTTTTCCCTCATCACCGTTTCTAGTATTTAGTGGTTCTTATTACTGTTATCATACTTTATTCGGTTAGTTATTCACTCAAAATAACCTGACGCATACATTAAAGATGATTGTTGTGAGAACGACTAAACCCTAAACCTAAACCCTAAACCCTATGACTATGATAGTCACCGGGACTGTTGTGACTGGCTTGGAGTCGTAGGGCGACCTTTTTTGCCCCGGCTACAAGTTGTCTTGGGTGGGGATTTGGAAGAGCTGGACCCTTGGGTTCAACGTGTAGTAATAGTAATAGCAGTCAAAGGTGCTAGGAATACTGGTATTCATAATATCGGTAGAAATACGAGAAATGATAACAGCAATAGCAACACGCAAAGGAAACGTGGGAACAACGAACTGATTCAAGAGTCCTAAACCCTAAACCCTAAACCCTAAACCCTAAACCCTAAACCGAGGAGATTCCCGAGAAGTGTTCCCGGCTGATGCCTGGGGAGAGCTGCGAAGTGGGCTGCAGCTCCAACTACATCTTGCAAAGGAGCCCCCCCTTTTCTGGGTTTAGGGTTTAGGGCTTAGGGTTTAGGGCAGCTCCAACTACATCTTGCAAAGGAGCCCCCTTTTCTGGGTGGTGGCTTAACGGTCTAGGGCCCTAATCCCTAAACCCTAAACCCTAAACCTTGGGTTGAAGGTGTGGGGCTTTGGAGCTGAAGGGGTGGGGAGGTTGACCTGAAGTAAGGATAGACTTGCTTCAACTCAAGATTTTCAGGTGGACCTGTTGAAATCTCCGCTGAGTTTGAGTTGATTCCAGTAGAATGCTTGCATGCACGTTGTTGAGAGTGCACACACGTACAATGACATGTTGGCGTTTGCACCTCACTTGATGTTGACTTGGGATATTTTCTATGCAGCCCTATAGAGTCAAAGAGCGTGGGCTACTCTAAGGCTTAGCAGTAACTAAACCATGACCTGGATTCCTGGATCTTTGTGGGACACTTGTGATGATTGCCGGACTATGCCTACACATGGGTAGTTCTCTAAATTAGGGTCCCTTTTTAGGTCCCCAATATAGTACGGCACCCTTATAAAAAGGACCGTAAAGGGACCCTAATTTAGAGAACTACCCACATATATATATATATACATACATACATACACTCCAATAATTCATTAGTACGTGGATCGACTTCCTGACGCTCGATTCCCCGTGGCGCTAAATATGACAGACGTTTCCATGTGCCTCATTCCCCTTATATAGACGCGAGACATTAATTCCTAAAACCAAGACCTTGACAAACACCCTGAAACCTTCCTAACCCTAAACCCTAAACCCTAAACCCTAAACCTGCCTTCGAGGAAACCCGACCAGGGGATCTTCAAATGCGATCTTGGGATGGACACGCCCCCCGGCTTCCCTGAAACGTTTGGGTCAACTGAGCTATGGTCCAGGCTCCTAACAAGGGCGCTGATATGGGGGATGCTACAGGCTTCCCTCTATTTGTTGTATAGGAAAATATACAGAGTTTAGACGACATCTCTCGACAGTGCTTCAGGCTGCTTCAGGGTCTCCCATAGGGTTGTTCAATCGGAGAACATTGGGTGATCATGATCCCGCGCCGCGATTGGAGGCTTGGCACCCAAAGTCATGAAACGTCTGTTTGCCAGCATGTGGTTCTGCGAGCATCACAGGGTCGTGAAAAGTTTAGCTGAATTCCCAGAGACTCCAATACCCCTTAATTAAGGAATATACCTTAAATTATAGTAGGATTCCTAATAAGGTTTAAGGTATATTCCTTAATTAAGGGGTATTGGAGTCTTTGGGTTCCTTGGGCCACTTGATTGGAGTCCCCAGGCCACCTACCGGCACCTTCCCCGAATGCAAGCTGAAGCCGCCCCTCTGCTGCAGCCAGAAACTGCGCCGTCTCAAATTCGCACCCTCCGTCTGGCTGTAGGAGGGGTTCGGATTGGCTTTGCAAGGCACTCTCAAGGCCGCCGTTGGATACTGTAGGCAGGTTTAGGGTTTAGGGTTTAGGGTTTAGGGTTTAGGGTTTAGGGTTTAGGGTTTAGGGTTTAGGGTTTAGGGAAGTCTTAGAGGTTTTCGATTCAGGGGTCGGGGGAAGAGCAGTGTTCAGGCGGTAGGCATTGGGGGCAGATTGCACGCTCCCTTACGCCTGGCCCGATCGACTGCTGCAGTGACCAGGGCTGGGCAGATGGTGGTTGCTGGGTTCAATGCCCAGCAGGCTCGGAAGTCAGATTTTTGACCATTCATGGGAGGGCTTCGCCTGGAAATTTACATGCAGAGACTGCAGTTTCAGGCAAACAGTGAGGATCATGTGTGAAGGTGTCCACCACAACGACTACAACGACCATACCAGCACTCTGTCAGGCCTGTGCGGATATTGGCAGCTTGACAGGCCATTCAGAATTGAAGGGGCCTGTCATTAGCATCATTATTCGTATTCTTCTTATTGGTACAATCACTTTTCGTAATGTTATTTCCAGTATTTGGCAAGGTTCTTCAATGGCAGCATCTTTTGTAAGAGGGGTAGGTGATTGCCTGATTGGGGGGGGAAGAAGAAGTGTGCCAGGTAACTTCAACGACGCGCGCTTCGAGCAATGTCGGTTCTGGGGTGATCCGCACATCACGAAGAGCTGGCGACCCAAGTCGCGATTCAATTTCCAAGGCCAGGTCTTGAGCTTTCCTAAACCCTAAACTCCTAAAC